AGTATTTCATAATGAGTACGATTACAATATAAGCTAGAATAGTCGTTCTCACTTATAATGATGATGATCACTGCAGCATTAGTTCCGATCAGCATGACTGTAATTGTAAGCTCATCAGCTGTGCTTGTAATTCCTGACGACGAATCTTCCTTGGGAATTTTCATCAACATCCCGACAGTAAAGTTAACAGAACTTGCCAACAGGGATACTAGTTGTAACCAGTGCTCAAACGTGTCTTCGATCGGCTTGTAGAGTGCAAAGGAAACAGAACACAGACCTGATAACATTGCAGTTAAGCCCAAACTTGTTCGGCTCTCAGCGTTCATCATTATCAGTATCGCGCTTAAACACATTTTTCGCACCAGCTCTAAGATTTCCCAGAACCAACAGCTGGGTGAGTAGTTTTCGTACAGAAAACGAAGGCTGCTCAAGATGACACTGTTTTTCTTTATTTTCCCTCGTGCACGTTTGAGAACCAAGAAGAGAGCCAATGGTAAGCCAGTGCAATACAGTAATGTCACTGTGCTCAGGGTCCCATAGATTTGATGTTTTTCTGTGTCACACTGTACTGAGTAATCAGCTTTGAGGTATGATTTACAGTTCTGGTCATCATACGAGCAGATCCTGTGACATGCAGCAGGCAACATCTGGAAGACACTGGTGCACGTCGATGGGAAAGTAATGAAAAGGATCAGGATCAAACATCGGTTACTCCTCTGTTTATATTCAGCGAATTTYCTCTGTTTTTCTCTTGTACTAGAAAAGGATKTCCTGTTAGCGTAGAACGTAATGACAGTGTTCAGCAAGATGCCAGTGACTGCAACAGCAACTGTTATGACGACACTTGTCAAGAAATACGTGTAAGCATCTGTTTTTATTTGGTCATGGATACAGTTCAAGGGGACTATTTGAAGAAGGTTCAACTGAACAGCTTTGGCGTATTTCATAACGATAAGAATGGGTGCTGGCCAGTTGACATACGAGAACGATTCAAACGTGCCTGAAGAAACTTGATAGAAACCGATGATGATCTTAAGCCTTGCCAGAAAAATATCTGAAATCGACCTTGATGGATCTGTCATATCTTTTGATTCCTTCTTTGTTTTCCAAATACTGAGTCCCAAGAGTATGACGACGAATATCACAAATAAAACTGCTTGAGCTATGATCCATGGAAGAGATGGACACGGTCGACATTGTGCCATCACGTTAGTGTATCCCTTATTACAAACAGCACACAAAGGTCCTGTATAACCTGTGGCACACGAGGCCATGCTTCCTCCGAGGCAAGTGTGCGCAGAAGGGCAGGCGTGAGCATCTGGAACGTTTCCTTTGAATTTTCTTGTTTTGTAATTTTCTCCAGTAATGTTCAAGTCATCTTTAAAGGCAAGGTAGTTTTGTAAAGTGTCATTACTTTCCCACACCCAGTAGAATCCAGGTGCTAGGTTAACGCCCTCATTGGTACACACATAACCTTTCGTACATGCATAGCATGGTCCAAATCGGTCCAGGCGATAGTGATCCACAAGGCAACCACACGCACGAAATTGTGCATGTTTTTTAAGGTCCGTCCCTGAGATTAAATAAATATATACAAACATTGTATTATTTGAGTTCAAACATACCATCCATCACGAATCATACTATCTATCAAAAATCTTGAGCTCTGATTGCCGATTGGCTGAGCTACTAGTGGTCTATTAATGATAGACCACTAAAAACGAAAAGTGACGGTTAGTTTGAAAGCCAAAAAGACAAACCATTTCAAACTAATTTCAATTGTTTGTATCCATTTATTGTGAGCAAAAGGTCAAATTGTTAAATAGAATCTTGCTGTTTTCATATATGCTGTAGCTGTTTCCATAGTAATCAGCGTATTTACCAATTATTTGATTGACAAGAGATTAACTTAATCCCTTAGCGTCCTACCTTTTTAATTCAGTATGGTGTATCACTCGATTGAAGTAAGACTAGATTTTCTGGATTAATATCTTTGTTGAACTGTTTAACTGACCTGCCAACGTTGGTAAGTCCTCAACCTTATTGTATTTCTGTTTTAATCCGTAGCACAATTGATTCCTTTGTTGTGTATTTCGCCTCGTGAATCATTTTACCATAAGAAACAACAATTGTAAACACAGCAATAGGCTAACTAATCGATCATACTTATTCTAGTTGACCAGATCATTACCAGATTTGATAGTGCAAAGAATAAACACAGAGATTTGCGTACTCAACTATGGCAGTGGTCTTTGTATATACAACATGTTTGAGAAATCCCGTACAATGCATAAAAGTATTTTTAATCACTCTTCGAGGAAAAAGAAAAAAAAAAGAATATTAACCCGAGGTCTGTAGGCAAATATGTCTTTTATAATGAAAATAATGATGTTGATGATGATGGTAATAATTAATTAACATTCCAGTACCTTGTTGGCAAGATTTACAGTCTGACTGGGATTTTCCTGGGACCATTTCAGGTTTGACGTAAGTACCACGTGGACACTGCTTGCAGCCCAGACCGTACACTTTGACACCTGTGTAAGCCAGCTCGTCTTGGTAAAACCCACCTACAATTCAAGTGATAATTTATTTGCATACATACTGACATATATAAGCTTTATTAATGTGTCAGTCTTCCAGCGTACCACTAGTAGTACACTAATCAGGGACACTAGAGAGGGACACTCTCTTGGTAAAATCCACCTACGAGACAGCAATTTAGAACAGTAAACTGAAGGACTTCACAAGTCTATGTGGCATATGCTCTACAGCTTTGATATTTTGCCAGTATATGTAGTTTTTTTAACCGATATATGAGATTATTATGCTTTTATTTTATTATAGATTGAAATTATTCTTTTAGATGGATGATGACGTAGGTTGAAACGAGAGGCCATTCCCCGAGTATACAACTAGTACCCCTATCTAGAGTTTTCATTTTCACGGACTGGTTATTTTTAGATTCGTATTAATGCCAAATAACGAAGAGTTATATATTATTTCTTCTGGTTCATTCATTCTACCAACATGGCGGCTATAGCTTTGTTCTCTAGTTCTCGAGGGACTGAGGATCCGTATGTACGCTTCGGGTATTGGGCTTCTGGTTGAAAACAGCTAATGGACTACTTTGACGATACAGCGGCCATTTTGGATTGCAAGGCATTATGGGGCATTCAGGGGGCAAATAAAGCTTTGGTACAATAATGACGTCGATTGCTATTAACATCTCACCACAAGAGGATACAACGAAAGATGAATTAGGACGTCAAATCGACCACCTTTACCCAGAAAAGAAAGACAAACACACGAAACTATATATAGAGAGGCTTTGCACCATCACGTGATGGCAGCCATGACAGGAGGCAGGAACAATTGAAGCTGGTCTGATCTGATTAGCACGAAAAATAATCCAGTTACCAAAGACTATTGTTGTGCCTCCTGTCATGGCTGCCATCACGTGATGGCCGCAGCATCGTCGACGTACTTTATCGTTTTGTGCTCACCTGCTGGGCATTTAACACAGTATCGCAAGTCATCATTGCTAATATGAATGAAATATCCACTGTAGCAGGGTTTGCATTGTAAATCATACTTGCCGCATAAGTATCCCATACTTTGCATGATTTTGTAGTTAGCATAAACAAGAAACTTCAAATCATTTTTCTTTAGATTTTCCATTCTGCATGAGAAGAAGGAAGGGAATATTTTGTCTTTTGATGCATACAAATGATTATTATCGCTGTGGCTATCGCTGTCGCTGTCGCTGTCGCTAAAGCTTTTCCTTGAACATTATTAGTTCTTCAGGACTAAGAGTTTTGAGATGAAGGGCATTTTTTCCGCTTATTTTCGTATTAGCTTCTGAGCCCGCCATGTTGGTTTGCTTTTTGCCATCCAACTTCATGCGCATGCGCAGTAAGATCGGCCTATACAGAAACATACAAAAACTTACACAACGAATGATACATTTGGGTTCATATTCCACAGCAGTAGTGGAGTACTAAGTTGAGTATTGAACAAAAGCCTGCAAAACAAATAATGTATTCACTTCAGCACACGTGATGTGAGTATGGTAGGATAGTATTCGTGATTGTCTTTGACGAACGGTTTGACTGGATGAGATGATCTCATAGACCAATTAGGCTAACGCAAAACAAGAATCTTCTTCGAGTGCTGCAAAACTGCAATACGCATTATATTAGCCCCAATAATTGTTTACCCAGACCACCTTTCGGTCTTAACTTCAATGGTTTTTAAATCTTTTCATATTGTATAGAACGGTCTGAACCCAGGTGCATGAATGTTTATATCGAAGTATTATGATCATCCGGGTGGACGTGGTCCTGAGAAGGACTGTTTGATGTGACTGACGTTTCGACAACCTGAGCGGAAGTCATATTCAGAGTCAAGTGAAGAATAAAGTCAGACTGGTCATATTTATACTGCCACGATAGCAATTACCTAAATACCTGGATGAGCGTAATTGGCGTAATCCGACAACGCCGTTTTTAACATGTGGTGTATGGAAAGGCTCGATTTCTTTTGCTTTTTAACTGGACTATTACTAACGTCTGTGTTTTAGTCTTCACAGATTACAACACAATGTGCATGCTACTCAGCTATTTTGTCAACTTTTCATTGATATTTGGCATTCGTATTCCAATCTTTCCATAATCTCTCTCTCTCTCTCTTCTGCTTCATTTCGAATGACACGATCTGAAGTCAGTACACTCCACAGCCCAAGTTGATAGAGTCTACAAGCTCGAAGAGTTAGCATCATTTTTTACACTCCTTTCGTGTTAAAGTGCCTATCATCCTTCTGACAATATTCACAGTATTGATTCTACATTGGGTAAGATGTGGAAAAGCCCGAAAAAAATTCATAGTTTGAATGCGGCTTCTTGAAGTTATAAAGGTTTTTCCATGCCATATGCTAATGTCGTGACGTATGAGGAGTAATCATTTAATATACAAAACCTTACTGGCACACATAAATTAAATTTGAAATACGTCATTGCTTTGCCCATTGCCCTTATAGAAATTATTGCAAGCTATTTTTCAMATAGAAGCCTGTGTTTCGAATTACAAGGAACAACAAATAACCATAAATGCCTCCTCATACGTCACCGCATTAGCATATGGCATGGAAAAACCTTCATAACTACAAGAAGTTGCATTCAAACTATGAATTTTTTTCGGGTTATTCAACATCTTATCCCATGTAGAATCAATACTGTAAATATTGTCAGAAGGGTGATAGGCACTTTAAGGTGACTGCCTACTTTTGGAAATTGATTTAAACTTGTTTTAAAACTTCGATTCTGATGCTGATTCCAAATCTGCAAAGAAAGATTGGGTATCCCGAGCTCGTTTTCAAGATAATCGGCATTAAATCGTGGGCTCAAATCGAACGTTCAAAAGTAGGCAGTCACCTTAAAGCCTTTTCATGCTCCCATACACCGAATCGAAATATGGCGACCAATTTAAATAACTATTGTTCTGGACTGACTATCCTCTCTTACATGCGAAAACGCTTTCATGTTTCCACGTGAACACGAGGATAGTCAGTCGCTAGTCAGTCCAGAGCAATAGTTATCCAAATTGGTCGCCATATTTGAATTCGGTGCAGTATATACTTAATTTCTAAAATGCCTTCATTAAGAATTAATCTAAACACAAACTAACTCTGGACAATTCAGAAAACCAATTACAGAATGATTCTAATTTCTGTGTTATAAACTCACACGAGTTGAAGTTCTTGTGATGCCACAAATGCATTTTCTTCTATAATTTTAATGGGGTTATGCGAAAGAGATCTGGAAAACAATTACAAACAATAAATTAGCATTGCTTGTGAGAAACGTTGAAATAGATTAGCAGGCAAGCAGGCAAGCAGGCAAGCAGGCAAGCAGGCAAGCAGGCAAGCAGGCAAGCAGGCAAGCAGGCAAATCCAGTACACTTTTTTCACAATATGCTGTTCTTTCACTTACATGATCTCTACCACCGAGAGGTTTTCAAATGTTTCTTTGTAAATAACAGATAGATTGTTATTTTCTAGAAAGCTATTAAAAATAATAAATAAATAATAAAAAATAGAAAATCAAGAGAATCTTTAATTATTGGTAACGTCGGCCGGTTGCTTTATTTGAAGTTCAGCTGTTATAATCGAGTGGAAGAGATGCAAGCCAAACCAGAAGACAAAAATCACTCAGTGTGCTTTAAGTTTATATTGTCTACCTTCTCATAGCTCATAATGCTTTGCTTTCTGATGTGCAACCTACCAAAAAACTGTCCCAAAATGAAGCCTTCTTTAAAAAGATTATACACTATACCTGTTTCTATCTATAGAATACTGATTGGCAACAGCTCATGCAATCTAAGTTAATTTTGCGTGCTCAGAACATCAAAAGGTTTGGTGTTCCAGAAAAAAGTATTGCCCCACGAAGGAGTGTTCAAAAGTTACTTGAAATTTTCTGTTGTTTTCTGGTTCTTACTTTTTCATTCATTGTATTATTATTATT